CCCCGTGGTTTCTACAACAATCCAAAGAGAAATGAGAGGGCTCCTGCAGCAAATGTGAAAGTCTTCGCACGTGGCTGTTTGGGCTGCACCGGACTCAGCACTACATGTCTTGCAGAAAAGGTTTCAGAATAAAACCCACCTGCCCTATCCTAACAAACTCTGCCTGGCGGGCCTCCTCTTTCTTCCGTGCTGACTTGGGTGACTCTGGTAAGACATCACTAAAAGATCGTCTATTAAGCATGTTCTAAAAAAGAAAAACAAGTTATGAATTCCACAAACGTTTGTTAAGTCTCATCCTTTGGCTTCTCTTAATGCCCAAACCTACTGGTCCAGACAGTCCTGTTTCTCTCTTCTGTGTGTGCTCACTCAGTAAGCACCCACGCAGCACCTGCTGGGGGCAGGGTCCTGCCCGACACTGGGAGGGGAGCGAGCGGGAGGAGGGACAGTGCTGTGTGATTCTGGGAATGTGGCTCTGCAACCGGGCAGACCTGTAGCTCCATCACTCACCAACTTACTAACAGAAGGACCTGTGCCCCTATCTTGTTCCAGGAGTCAGGAAGTGGTACCCCTAGGAACACACATACTGAATTCCACAAGGATGGTGCCCCTAGAGTTCTGTAACTCTGTGGCCCTGTGTGTGGGTCACAGTTAAGTTTTAAGTCTCAGAGTCTCCGTGTGGTCAACACCTGTCTCCTAGGTGTGATAGGAGGATAAGCTACATCACGCCGTAAGGTGCTCAGCACAGTGCCCGGTGCATGCTCAGTAAATGTTACTTCTCTGCAAACCACGGGCAGAGAATGGGGTACACTCATTCAGTCAGCAAGTGCTGACTGACACCCTCTGACTCTGCCAGATTTGGAGGATGTAACAGTAGCGGGGGAGACAGAGTAAGTGACCAGTGACATGATTAGCACACCTGGTCACTATTGTGAAGGGAAGTGTGTGGGGTATAATAGAGCATTTAGCAAGGGACTTGCCTTCACCTGGGGGTGCGGGGGAAGCCTGGCTAAGGCAGGGACGCTTCAGCTAACACCTGAAGGACATCATTACTCATCTTGACACCCTTTCTTCACCCTTCCTTGACCTTAGGGAAAAATGGCAATCGACATATTACCAATTAAGGTTTGCTCTTTAGGGTCCTGGGATTAGCCTGGCCCAGTCCGTGCAAGCAGTTAGGGTGCACCAACCAGGCAGAGGGGCGCCTATAAAATGGTGTCAGTCACCGCGCCAAGGGGAAAGGACCAGTGAGTGCTGGCTCATTTGGATATTCTACAGCTCCCCTGGGTGAGCGCCTGAAACCAATGCTCCAATTATTTGCGCTCATCATTAGCAATGACTTTTACTGGGGTTTACGAATGCCTGGAATCCAGGGGAGTCTCCCTACTTGTTCTGTGCTTCCTTATTTAATAGGAAAATGTTCTTTTTTTTTTTTAGACAGTGTCATTACGTCACCCTTGGTAGAGTACTGTGGCATCACAGCTCACAGCAACCTCCAGCTCCTGGGCTTAAGCGATTCTCTTGTCTCAGCCTCCCAAGTAGCTGGGACAACAGGCACCCACCACAACACCTGGCTATTTTTTTGCTGTAGTGATCATTGTTGTTTTTAGCAGGCCGGGCCAGGTTTGAACCCGCCAGCCCCAGTGTATGTGGCTGGCGTCCTAACCACTGAGCTTCGGGCACCAAGCCATAGGAAAATGTTTCTAAATGATGATTTTACTCTGCATTGACAACACTGAGTCTGGTGGCCTCCTAAAGAGCACATGCACCTCGGGAAATGACAGGCAGGTGCTGGGTCTCATCAGTGTGGACACACCTTGGGGCCAGGAGGTATCCAGCACAGGGTGGGTTTTCAGTAAATGAAAATGCTAGTGTCAGTGCCTGAACTGGGGCTAGCCAGTATACCTCCAGAAAACTTCAAAAAGCATCCTATTTCTCTCCACAATCCCTATTTTTATTATGTGCCAGGCATGGCACTGGTAGTGTTGGGCAGTACCACAAGGACAGTCACCAAAAAAATCTGTCATTGCCCTGCTCCCGCCTTGATTTCCACAGGCTCTGGCTTTATGAACATCACATTCCTGTATACGGACACTCAATGTCCCCCCTTCTTGCAGTCACCCTGACTGAATGTCAGCTTATGGTGGCCACAGCACAGTCTTGAAGGCAAGGATCAAAGTGACTCCTGTGCTTCTCTACCCAGGACCACCTGGCTAGGACTCATGTCTTCTACTCAGACCCCACAAGAAGGGAAGAAGACCATGGACCCTGAGTTACCTTATGCAAATCTGGCATCAGATCCTGGTGTAAAGATCGAATCAACATATCCAGAGTACGCCGACGTTTCTGGGCAAATGTTGGGGTTTCCAAAGTGGCTTTTTCACCATTAATTACTAAAGAAAATAAAGTTAAAAAGGGAATGAAAAACATGAATAGCTGTTGAAGAACGTTCTTCTCAAGCAAATGCCCTACAGCGAAGGCCACCCACCTTCCTAATACTGGTGCTGCCACTGGTATTACTTTTCCTTCACAGGAGAAGCTTAAAAATTCTGAACTTCACTATACAGATCCTTATAGTCCACAGGAATCACTATCTTATCTTTCTTGTTGGGCTGCAAGTTCCTGAACAGAGGGTCTATCTCATTTTGCCTAAAGACCTCTTTGCCTTTACACCTCCATCCACCACCCACTCATCCATCCACCACCCACTCATCCATCTGCCCATCCAGCCAACACATGGGGCCAAGACACCAGGAGGCCATTCAATGGGATTAAATATACATTTTCTGTACTGTTAGAAAAAATAACAATTGTCTCAGCAGAGTACTGGGACTCTTAGCCTAATGGAAGTTTCTTCTGGCAAAAAGCTGGGATTTTAGTGGACTATGGACACTAAGAGCTAGTCAAATGGAACATCCAGTTTCACATGAAGCACAGAACTCAAGTGTGTGACAGAGGTCAGGAATCTGCAGTCAGGCCAGTTCTGAAGGTGGACCCCAGCCCTGCTGCCAGCTGTGTATTCTAAAGGAAAGTATTCTGCTTCTCGGGGCCTCAGTTATCTGCCTTATAAAATGGATATAACCACAGTTCCTTCTAAGAGTCTTATACTAGAAATGAGATAATATATATAAAGAGTTAGCAGTGTGCTAATAATATTAAATAAACATTAACTACTGTTTTTCTCACACAGGGGAACATAGCAAGGACAGCGGTCATAGACTAAAAAACGGAACTCTGGGGGGACAGGCATTTCCCAGAAAGGATCCATGTACTGGGGTCAAGCTGGGCATGTGTGTGTGTCGGGGGCAGAACATCATCTATTATTTTAATCCTGTGACTGGGAATATTTTGTTTGAGGGTATTTTCTACTTGGTACTTGAGAAAAATCCATTTTAAATGCTTTGTTTGATTGAATAAAAGGAAAAGGTCAAGTTTTTTTTAAATGCCATTATCCTATTATCTCAGAGTTTCTCTCCCTCCGACTTTCCCCCCTCCCTCCACATCCACTTTAGAATGCCCAGAGCCTTCTGCGCCCTTGGCTGCCACCTGTCTGCTCAGGACACTAACCCCTCTGGTCCTTCAGGCCCCCACACTCTGCCACCCACACTCTGTCTCCACCACCTTTGGTTCCCTGAGCCCACACTTTCTATTTCTACCTTTCCAATCTCCAACTTTAGACCACACAGGCCTCTGAGGGGCTGATGAGTCACTCTGCTCACTGGCTCCATGTAAATGGAGAGTCCACTTCCCAGCTGGGTCCCCAGGGCTGCAGATTGAACCCTAACTGGTGGTCACAGGCCCTCTGCAGAGATGCTCACCCCTGAGTCCTAGCTGCTTCCAGCTGCTACCTGCTCCCTGACTGATCCTTTGGACTTGAAATACATGGACCAGAGTTGTAGATTTGGGCAATTTCACACGGATTTCAGCTTTCTGGCTCGTTTCCAAAACTCAGAACATCTGGCAGCGCTGGGCTCCTGCCCTGAAAGGCGTCGCCCGGCTGGCAGGTGCACACGTCTGTCGCCCAACCCCTTCCACCACGCACCCACTTCACTGACTCATACTTCCCGCCTGTCTTTCCAGGCCTTTAAGTTGGAGACCTTGCTGTAACATGTGAATTAAAGGGTAAAGGACATTGGAAAGGAAGAGAGAAAACCATCACTTTGCACGTGGTTTGTAGATTCACTGCCTCTGCTGTTGTCGGGAAAGATATTGCCCAGACATCGCCATGACTTGAAATATGGAAAGTAACAGCTCAGACGGCCCAGTTGGGAAGCAGAGGAGCCCAGAAAGGGGGGCTTCACATCCGTTCCCCAGAAGAAAGATTTGGAAGCGTGTGGAGATCTTTGCAAGGGACTGGAGGGGCTGATGGAGGGCAGAGAGTTAACCCAGTGGCTTGGCTGAGACGGGCATGTTTTGGTGACTGGAGCCGACATACTCCTTCCTGCCTGGCACTTTGTGCTGTTGTTGGGGGAGGGGTCATGTTCAGGACTACACAGGGGATACTGGGAGACAGGAAGACAAAGGAGGGACAACATGTGCCTGTCCCTTACCCTGGTCTGAGGTGGCTTGGGCCAATTCTGAAGTAGGATTGAGACTAGAAGCCCAGGGGCAGTTGTCCCCGGGTTCTTGGTGAGGCTTTGACTCAATCAGTGCTATCTGGGGCCAGGTGACCAGGATGGGTGAGAGTAGAGAGCAGCATTTCTAAGTGCTCCAGAGCTGGAAGAGGGGAGGGAAGGGGCTCAGTAAGCTGCCACCTAACGGGTACAAGGTAGAGGTATACAGCACACCTCCTGGGGGAAGGACTCAAGTATAACTTGGACTTTTCTTAAAAAATGCAAACAATGTAACCTGATCATATGTGCCTCATGTGAATGTGAGATAAAGAAGAATGCTCCAAAGCTGCATGGCAACAGTGACAACTGCACGTGTGGGCGGGACGGGAGGCAGCCAGCAAAGCTGCTACAATGCCAGGGTGCCTGGCGGGAGGCTAGAGAGCAGCAGCTTCCTGGAGGGCACAGGTCCAGCGGCCCCACCCAGGCCTGGTACTGGCAGGCTGGACCTCCATGACAGAGTCAGAGCCGACAAACCCCAGTAACTTGATCCTGATCACCTGTGAGGCAGTCCCACCATGGGGCTCCCCAATATAATACCCAGGGCTTTCCTGGGGAGGGAGGGTGAGACACAGCTCCTGAGGTTCAGGAGATGGGGGCTCAGGAGGGGCGAGGCAGAGCTCCTGAGGTTTGGGAGATGAGGGCTTAGGAAGGGTGAGGCAGAGCTCCTGAGGTTCAGGAAATGGGGGCTAAGAGTCATGTTTTGGGGTAGTATCAGTGGAACTAAAAAAGTGCTCTCCAGCTAGTGATGCTTGGGGTGGTCAGGTTCTATACACTCACAGTCTCATCCCCTCTCTCTCTCATGTGTACACACACTCACACATACACGCATAGGCATGTTTGTACACACACATTCCCCAACAACATCTCACTCTCTGACAAAGACCCAGATATGTACGTAAGTAGAGACTCAGAAATGGCTGTATCAGAACACGGGGCAAAAAGACAAATTTAAGGCCCATGGTGCTGGGGGTGAGTGTGGAGACACCTTAAGAGAGGTGGGGAGGATGGTAGGTGGAGATGAGGACACAGCAGAAAACCTGCACGCCACCACCAGAAACTAAATGCATGCCGTGGAAAGCATTAACCGAACAAGGGGCATTTAAGCAGTGACATTCGCGTGGAACAAGTTGCAAAAACATTTCAAAACAGAAACTTACATTTCACTAACAAAAAATCCCTGAATTCCTGGTGGTCTGTAAACACCGGTGGGGATGGCAAGGGTGGGCCAAAGAGTGGTACGCTTTCTTCTGAAAATATTTTCAGCCTATGTAAAGAACATTTCAGAATTAATGGGTTTTTCTCCAAAAATCACTAATATTTTGCCCTTCAATTTGTCCAGTCACTTATGGGAGGAGTTAGGAACATTCATCCCTCAGCGGGAGTGTCCTCTCTGGGATGCCAGAGCTGAGGTCGCCACCCCACCCTCCTTTCTAGCTTAGTAATGTGCCTTTGGGCAGGGGCTGGGTCTCCCTGATCCCTTCATGGTCCAACCCACCAAGCTGTGGACAAGGTCAGGTGCCCCAGAAGAACGGCAGTGGCCACTACTGAGCACCCTTGGCATGACGGGCAGTGTACTTGGTACTTTAAGACATGGCTTTGACGCTGACTCTCACCAGCCAGGGCAGTCCTGTTACCTTCATTCTACACATGAAGGCTGAGGCTCGGCTCCGAGAAGACACAAACTTTGCTGCAAAACCTCTAAGTCAGAGATTTTCAACTGGTGTTTCTTGGCACACTGGTGTGCTCTGAGAGGATCTTAAGTGTGCCATAAAAATTTTTAAATATAATTCATTAAATTATTTTCAAAAGCAATTCAAAGCACAGTTAAGTATATTCTTTCTTTTACCCTTTTCTAAATCAACATAATTTAAGTGTGCCACAGAAGTTTAACAACAGGTTCAAGTGTGCCGTGGGATAAAGAGAGTCAAAAAACACTGTTCTAAGTTAATAAGTGACAGAGATGGGATCTGAAACCAAATTTCTTTGGCTCGAAGTTCATGCTCTTTTTACTATACCATGACAGCTTTAAACAGATTAATATTTGAGAACAGAAGTAGAAACAGGCAAGAGTGTAGCCTAGGAAAGAGGATATTCTGGTCGAGATCAAACATTAAATTTGTTCCCACGTAAAGTGCAATAAAATATTAAACTAACTCTGACCCTTGGGTCTACCACACAGAGCAAATTCCAGAATAAATTCTTACTGAGGAGATGGTGGCTTGAAGAGACTGCTAAAAGGTGAAGGTACGCATATTAAATCAATCAAGAAATGTTTATCAAGAGTATCATAAAATCAATGCAAATAAACAAGTAAGCACAAGAATTAGAACAAGCAAGGGCAATAAAGTCATTACCTACCTGTAATTGTCATTTTGTTGATCATACCTCACTAAGGCAAAAATATCTGTGGGACGGATTAAGGAAATTGATCGACAACCCTGATGCTTGCAACTGACAGCTTGTGCTTTGCCATGCAGAATCATTCTGGACCTACACCTTTGTGGTTAGGGCGCTTGTAGCCCTTAGGTTGGTATAGAACCTTGACTTCTTTACATGAGACAGCCCAGGAAGACCCATGTGAGGGCACCATGACTACATTCAAAGTCCATGAGTGCATCCTTTGGGGAAAGGGCTAAATCTTCAAAGCTGTCAGAAAAGCAATATTATTAAACAACACAGCGGCCGACAAAGCATAGAGCAATTTCTTTGCCTGGAAATACAAACACAGTCGCAACATGAAACTAGTCATATATTTCACCTCACACATCGTGAAAAGGAAAGCGATTTAAATGTTTCCACCGTACACCTTCCCTCTCTCTCCTGGCTTCAGTAGACAAAACAAAACAAAACAAGCCAACATAGCTGGTGGCGTCTTCCCAGCAGAATCTACTTTGCCTGTGCCAGGGCCCGTAGAGTCTGAAATAGCACAACTACCTTTATCCAGCGTCTCTCTTCCTCCTGCTCTTCTTCTGCCCTGTACCCTGCCTCCCCTCCCCTAGCTTTCCCTAGCTGGGGCTACAGAGCCATCACTCCCTTGTGCCTCCTCACCTAGGGCTCAGTGGAGTACATCTGCATTAGTGACCTGCTTGTCCCTTTTTAGAAATAAAGGGGGCAAGCCCTGAATCTAAAACTTATAATTCAGGGAAGTTCTGAAAAATGACTACCTCCCAGTCACTGACAAAGTCATGTCAGATCCCCTCTTGCTCTGTACCTGAAGAAGTTCTCTGTTATCTGAGAACTACTTCCAGAAGGGGAAAATATTAGTCCTAACTCCCAGTGAACAGGGGAGCTCTTATTTACTAGAACAGAAGAAAATCATAATGAATGTGGAGGTGCATATCATTGTCTTTGCTGCCTTTGTGGAAATTTGAAAATTTCAACTTTTCACTTCCATGGTATATTTTTAGGTTACAAGAGACAAGTCCAAGTATCTGAATGCAATGAATCACAATGGTCCTGTCTCCAGGGAACATGAGGAACTAGAGTTTATTCTGAAAATGCCTATTTGTTGCCTTTTATTTAGAATGTACAACCTGTAGCGCCACTACCTTTGGGTTTCAATGTCATGGCCCATGACCAGAGCACCAGGAGCATCACTGTCTATTGGGCTGGCCACACTTATACCCCAAGCTTCTCTAGTGGAGCTGGGCTCAGACACTGCAGGGAACTTCAGCCCTATCACTGAGCTTTGCCAGGGACATGAGCTGAACAGGGTTTAGAGGAAGCAAATAAAAATACTACTAATTCAATCATTTCTCATATTCCAAGAGATGATAATATAGCAGCTATTACTAGGGCTTAGATTCAACAAGAAAATCATTTTGGGACAGTGCCTGTGGCTCAGTGAGTAGGGTGCCGGCTCCGTATACCGAGGGTGGCAGGTTCAAACTCAGCCCCCGCTAACCTACAACAAAAAAAATAGCCAGGCATTTGTGGCGGATGCCTACAGTCCCAGCTACTAGGGAGGAGGAGGCAAGAGAATCGCCTAAGCCCAAGAGCTGGAGGTTGTTGTGAGCTATGACACCACAGCACTTTACCGAGGGTGACAAAGTAAGACTCTGTCTCTAAAAAAAAAAAAAAGAAAGAAAGAAAATCATTTTGATCTTTTAACTTGCAAGTTTTTATGTCTAAAGCAAATTTTTAATTTTTTTGCTTTAACCACCTATAATTCTCTCTAAACACTTATTACTGGCATAAAGTTTCTGCCATTTTATAAACTATCTGAGGAAGGGAACATATTTCAGGAGTCAAGAGCTCTCTGAGAATTCATCCTTCCACTACTGTAATGGGCGGGGAAAAGAAGAGGGAAAATTTGATGTTTATAAAAAGAAATCCCAAAAAGTGGGTCTAAGAATCTAGCAATGTGAAACAAATCAAGTATGACATCCGGTTCGAGGGTCGTTTGAAGTTCTGGACACTGACAAAGCCCAAGGATACGTGTGAAATGGGAGCGGATCATGGAAGGCTTAAAGGCAGGAGAAGATTCCTCTCCTTCCTGGAACACAATGGTGACGATATCATTTCCAATGTGGCGCTTCCTTTCCACCTGTAGTAAGCACAAATAACATCACGAAAAAGACTCTGCAACACAGCTCTTTCACAGAGTTAAAGAGTTAAGACACGTACCCCAACACAGCAAACCACAGCCACCAGCACAGAGCCCTGGAGTTCAGGCATCTGACTTCTTATCTCCCCTGATTTGCAGCCTAGTCCCTGGCCCTCCAGCCTGTCTCCCCTGCTCCCCCGCCATGTCCTTTTGTCTACCTATCTCTAAACACCTCCTACCTGGCCTCCTTGCCTCCATTCTCTCCCAGTTTGACAGCTCTGACTGTGTAGACCTTTGCTCATCATTTCTTAGGGTGCCATTCCAGTACCCCTAACAAGAGGCACATGTCAGGATTCCGGGGAATGGGGTGCAAACGTGTATTTTTATAAATGCTATAGCTAATCCCAAAGCATATACCTGGTGAGAACGATGGCTCCGCCTAATCTGAGCCCACTTGACCCTTTCAAAATGGTCTCCTATGCCTGTAGTCAGCAAATTTTTTCTGTAAAAGGCCGGACAGTGAGGTAAATCTTTTCACCTTTGGGGAATCACATGATCTCTTTGAAACTACACAGTGTTGCTGCTATAGCACAAAAGCAGCCATCGCCAATACACAAGTCCCAACGGCTCTTGATTTACTGAAACAGACCCCTGTCCTAGAACTTCCCCAGCAGAATGACTGACTGTTCCTGTAGACCCACTATGTGCTCTCGGCTCTACATCTGATGGTTATATACTCTTCTAGATGGAAAAGTGGGAGTGGGGTTGGTTTTCCCTCTCCTTGAATACAGGTGGCTGAATATCATATTAACAGATAAAATGTAGCAGAGGTGACTCTAGAACGGTGCTGGGCATAGCCTTTAAAAGGACTGGCACCTTCTGTCACTCTCCCTTTAGAACATGAGCTTTTGGAAGTCTTGATCAGAGAGGACCAGCCGCTCTGCTGCAGACACAATGTGAGGAGTGCACTGTGAGATCACAGCAGAAGAGAGGCCCTGAGACTCCGTGGAGCAGGAGGGAGGCCAGCTGTTCTGGTGTGCTGGCCAGCCTCCAGATTGCTCCAGCCCAGCTGCAACCAATGAGAGATTATAAGTCAGACCAGCAAAACATCTGCCAGCTGAACCCAGTCAACACACAGAAAGCATGAGATAATAAGATGGTTGTCTTCAGCTGGTAAGTTTTGGAATTTTTTTTTTTCATGTAGCAATAGATAAATGAAATCAGATAAATTACTCCTCCCACCCAATTTTTTTTTGCACAGTCTCTTATTTCCAAACATCTCAAACTTGGTTATCTGTCTAAGGCCAGACAAAATGATACTTTCTCCAGGAAGCCTCCCTGATCTCTGTTATATGTCACCTTCCTCGTCCTTCAGTCCACAGCACTTTTGTTTTTTTACTTTTTTTTTTTGAGATTGAGTCTATGTTGCCCTGGGTAGAATGCCATGGCTTCATAGCTCACAGCAACCTCCAACTCCTGGGCTTAAGTCATTCTCTTGCCTCAGCCTCCCAAGTAGGTGGGACTATAGGTGCCCACCACAATGCCCGGCTATTTTTTGGTTGCAGTTGTCATTGTTTAGGTGGCCCAGGCCAGGTTTGAACCTGCTTGCCTTGGTGTATGTGGCCAGTGCCATAACCACTGCACTACGGGTGCTGAGCCCACGGCACTTTTTTGATGCCATTCTTGTGGGGCTTACAACTTTCTGCATTGCCCAGTATTTTTTTTTTTTTTTTTGAGACAGAGTCTCACTATGTCACCCCTGGTAGAGTGCCATAGCATCACAGCTCACAGCAACCTCAAACTCTTTGGCCCAAGTGATTCTCTTGCCTCAGCCTCCTGAGTTGATGGGACTACAGGCACTCACTACAATGCCCTGCCATATTTTGGTTGCAGTTGTTGTTGTTTAGCAGGCCCGGGCTGGGCTCAAACCCGCCAGCCTCCGTGTATATGGCCAGTGCCCTACCCACTGAGCTATGGGTGCTAAGCCCATTGCCCAGTATTAATTGTTGTCTGTGTCCCATGTCCCCTAGTCTATCTACATTGTAGATTCCTGGAGAAAATGATTCCTGTCTGATTCATAATAGATAATAACCCCACTTTGCGAACAAGTAAGGTTTAGAGAGGTTCTAATAATTTCTTTCTTTCTTTTTCTTTCTTTTTTTTGAGACAGAGCTTCAAACTATTGCCCTGGGTAGAGTGCTATGGCATCAGAGCTCACAGCAACCTCCAACTCCTGGGCTTAAGCAAGTCTCTTGCCTCTGCTTCCCAAGTAGCTGGGTCTACAGGCACCTGCCACAATGCCCAGCTATATTTTGGTTGCAGCCATCCTTGGTATTTGGCAGGCCCAGGCTGGATTTGAACCTGCCAGCTCAGGTGTATGTGGCTGGTGCCTTAGCCACTTGAGCCACAGGTGCCACACTAAGATTCTAATAATTTCAATTCAAAAAGCAATTTTTTTGGTCTTGAGTATGACAGTAAAAACATAGGCAACAAAATAAACTGGATTGTATTAAAACTTAAAACTTCTGTGCATCAAAGGACACTTAACAGAATGAAAATACAGCTCACAGAAAGGGAGAAAATATTTGTAAATCACATATTTTATCAGATACATACATACATAAAGAATTCCCACAATCGGCTCAGCGCCTATGGCTCAACCGGCTAAGGCGCCAGCCACGTACACCTAGGGTGGCGGGTTCGAATCCCCAGCCCGGACCCGCCAAACAACAATGACGGCTGCAACCAAAAAATGGCCGGGCGTTGTGGCGGGCGCCTGTGGTCCCAGCTACTTGGGAGGCGGAGGCAGGAGACTCGCTTGAGCCCAGGAGTTGGGGGTTGCTGTGAGCTGTAATGCCACGGCACTCTACCCAGGGGGACAGCTTGAGGCTCTGTCTCAAGAAAAAAAAAAAAAAAAAAAAAAAAGAATTCCCACAATCAACAATAGAAAATCCACACAACCTGATTAATAAAGGGGAAAGGACTTGAATAGGCATTTCCCCAAAGAAGATACACAAACGGATAGTAGGCACACAGAGGAACTCAACGTCACTCATCATTAGGGAAACGCAAAAACCCAGAACGTAACAAGTGTGGGGACGAGGAGAAACCGGAACCCTGGGGTGTTGCTAGTACAATGTAAAATGATACAGCTGCTGTGGAAATGGTATGTTGATTCCTCAGAAAAACTAAACAAAGATTTACTATATGATCCCACAATTCTGCCTTTGGGTAGATGCTCAAAAGAACTGAAAGCAGAGATTCAAGCAGACATTTGTACGCCAGTATTCGGAGAAGCATCATTAACAACAGCCAAAAGGCAGGAACAACCCCATGTCCATCAGCAGGAGAATGGATAAGGAAACTGTGGACTATGGTGCATGCAACAGAATAGTATCCAGTTTTAAGAAGGTTTAAAATCCTGATATGTGCTATTCAACTAATGAACTTTGAGGACACTGTGTATGATTCCACTTAGACAAGGTACTTTAGAGTAGTCAAAATCATGGTGTGGAAGTAGAATGCCGATTGTCGGGGCTAGTGGGGTGAGGGAAATGTGGGGTTATTTGTTTAATAGGTACAGAATTTCAGTTTGAGAAGATGAGAATGTTCTGGAAATGGATGGTGGTGATAGCTGCTTAACATGGACTCTAATCACTGAATGTGCTTCATGTCAATGACCTGTACAGTTAAAAGCAGTTTAAAGGATAAATTTTACACTATGCGTATTTTACTACAATAAAAATAAGTAATTTTTTACCCATCAACTGGTGAATGGATACACAAAATATGGTATATATCATGCAGTGGGAAATTATTTAGCAATTAAAAGAAATGAAATGATGATTCAAGCCACAACAGGCCACAACATGGATAAACCTTGAAAACATGCTAAGCACAAGAAGTCAGATAGAAAGACCACATATTATATGAGTTCATTGATGTGAAACACCCACATAGGAAAATCCCTCCAGACAGAAAGATTAGTGGTCACCAGGGGAGCAGGAAGTGATGGCTAACAGGGGTGGGGTTCCTCTCTGGGCTAACAAGAGTGCTCTAAAATGATGGTGGGGACAGCTCGATAGCTTTGTGAACACACCAAAACCGCTGAATTGTACACTTTAAGAGGGTGAATTAAGGTTGGGCATGGTGCCTCACACCTGCGATCCTAGCACTCTGGGGGACTGAGATGGGTGGATCACTTGCGCTCACACGTTTGACACTAGCCTAAGCAAGAATGAGACCTCTGTGTCTGCTAAAAATGAAAAACTGAGGCAAGAGGATGCCCAGCGTGTGAGGCTGCTGTGAACTGACGCTACAGCACTCTACCAAGGGTGACAGACTGAGACTCTGTCTCAAAAAAAAAAAAAAAAAAAGAGGGTGAATTATATGCTATGTGTATTATATCTCAATAAGGTTTTATGTGAAAGTAATCAGTGAGTTCAGGGGCACAAGATCACACAGCAAACACGTACACGAAATACTGGGGTCACGTCGGCAGGAATAAAGGAGAGCAGCTCGGAGGCCCCAGTACATGGTCACCAGGGCCAGCTTCACAGACCTCGCGGTGAGTGGCTCGGGAGGAGGTAGGTGAGTAAGCCCGGTGGGCAATGGTGGAAGTGACTTCTAGGCAGAGGGAAGGGCAGAGAAAGGTTGTGAGCAGGACAGTTTCGGGGGCCCCTGAGGAACCAGAGAGGATGCTACTGTGGCTAGAATGTAGCGAATGAGAGGAGGGTGGGTGATGAGAGCAGAGCAGCTGTAAGGCTGTCGTAAAGATTCCGCCTTTTACCCCGAGTGGAGCAGGAGCCACGGGAGGGGTAGAACAAAGGAGTGGGCAAGATCTGACTTGTGTTGGTGAGGCTCACCCTGCTGCTGGATTGAGAAACAACAGGCTGGCTCAGCGCCTGTGGCTCAAGCGGCTAAGGCGCCAGCCACATACACCTAAGGTGGCGGGTTCGAATCC